GGAACGGCGCCGTACCTGGATATGGGCGAGCTGCGTTCCCTCGCCTGCGACGCCCTCCTGCAGGAGAGCTTCTACCAGAATAAGAAGCGGCCGTTCCTTTACCGCGATCAGGATCACACGCCCGGCCCGTTCCTTACGCAGCTCGTCTCCACTCTCGCCGCTTTCCTGTGCGGTCGTAACCCTCTGCTGGCGGCCTCCTCCCTTGGTGTGGAACGGGAGTGGGAGGGAGAGGGAAGTGGGAGCCCTTGGGCGGTGGGGCCGGTCTGTGAACCCGCAGGAGTGTCGCTGGTGTAGCCGAGTTGTTCAGAACATCAGTAGTAATTCATTTTGGCTCCATCGTCCCACATGGTGCGAGTGGATTTTGACTTTTCTGTTTTATTGCAGCTACAGAACAAGAATTCGGAGGGTTTTAAATGCAAAGGGGTGATCTCTGTTTCTCTCTATTCCTCTGTTCTGTTTCAGATTTAAAACCTGAAGTTAACTATTACTGGCATCATGGTGAGGAAGTTGTTGTTCATGGACATCGAAAGGGTAGAGTTGATCCTGTCCGATTTCAGATAGATGATAACCCACACCTCCAGATCCGTGTACCAAAGCAACTTCCAGAGGTGTGCATATTTTCAACACCAAGTTAATCGCATGCATTTTCACTTACGTTTCCGACTGCCACTGAAACCATGCGATAGGTAGTATATGGAGGACCTGGTTAATCAGGCATGTAGCACATCTGTGAATTTTTCAAGTCTTAATACCTTTACTACCTTATTGTAAGTGTTTTGTAGGTACTGAAACAGTCTTCTGAACTTCAAATTGGTCATCTTTGTGCTTTAGATAAAATGCATGTTGTAACACTTAATTAAATTGAGTTTTTAATTTCTTTTATGTTTGTAAGTGGAGGCAAGAATAAGAAATGTGGTGTGGAACGTTCTCTCCTCAGTGGAGGAGAACAAGATGAGAGAAATGGAAAAGAAAAGAACGGAGTAAGAGAGAGCATGTATAACCTGAATGTGAGCTCTGTTACCTGTTAGTGCTGCTTAACAGTTGTTTTCTTAAATGCTTAGTTTTCTGGAAGCTGATTTAATATTTTAATCTTTTTCTTGGAGGTTTATACAGTGGTAATTGTGTAGCCTGAGTGTCTGTTGCCCAGTTTCCACCACAAACAGAAAACTGTGCTCCACTCTCTGTAACTGCTGAACATTTCTTGCTAACTTAGTTGTACAAGTTGCTTAGGTTAATACTGTCAGATATTACAAACCTTGGTGTTTTGGAAGAACTGTCTAGGCAATTAAAAATGTTACATAGTGCAAAACACTGAAGACCTATAAACTCATTCTGCTGGTTCACGTTAATTTATTGACTGCTGCTAGAAATGTTTTTGCTTATCTTCTACAGAAACGGATTCTGGTTTTGAAGGTAGTACCAATTGGCAGCTTTGTTAGCAGCATTTCACACAACGTTTTTTGTATATTGCAGAAAACTCAGACATCAATATAAGATGTGTGTACTAGCATTCATCACAAGACAAGAAGTTCTGTTGCAAAAAATGAGTTCAGTTAAAGTTATACATATATGGTGTACGTAAGCAAGACTTGCACCTTCTGCTGTCTGACCAGAAAGTGGTATATTATGTGAGGCCTGATGTCAGAAACGTGACTTATGTCATGGCTTTTCTTTCTTCTACTTCCTTCAAGATTGTACCGCTGGAATCAGATCTTGGAGATGTTCCTGTTATTGACCACAAACCATCCAAACTGCCGTTGTTCAAAAAGCAGTATGAAAACAAGGTATTCATAGGTGAGAGGTTTTGGTTATGAAATGTTAACTACTTTTTTGCCTAAAAAACCAAAACAACAAAAAAAAGCCCCAACCTCAAAACAAATACCACCCCCCGACCTTTCTCCTCCCATCTACAGGAAAAAACATGTATACCTTTTTTATATATATAACTATACTATATAAATATGTATATAGAATATAATTTTTTATTGAGATTCCATTTAGTTAGGCAATGGGGAGTAGCATCCTCCTGTACATATGGTATTCTGTGTCCAGATTTGCTTGAAGGTGTTGGGTTGAATAGAAAATAGGCAGAAGACTGGCTTTGAATTTTGGTACATCTCCTCAGACACATTTTGGTACGTGATCTCTTGCCTTTTGGAGTTGGGCAAGTCCTCCAGTCTCACTCAGAAATGGAGGAGTCTCAACATTTATCCAGATCTACAGTAGAGTTTCTAACCCTCTGTTGTTCGGAGTCTGATAGTAAAGACGTTTTTGTGTGCATAATAAAGAGCGTTCTCTGACTGACAATTTTTTTCTTTTTGGGGGGCACAGGATCAAAGGTAGCAGATCCATGCTGTTATGGACACACCCAGTTTCATCTTCTTCCTGATAAACTAAAACGTGAGAGGTTTATAAGAGTGAATCTTGAGGATCAGATTGAAGTTCTTTATCGAGCTAATGGTATTGCAAGTCTCTTTGCCTGGACAGCAGCACAAGCCATGTATCAAGGTGAGACAGTCAACTTGAAAAATTCTTCCTGGTGATGAATGCCTACTATAAAGTTCTCTAACCTTTTTTTCCCTGCCACCTTTTTCTCATGCTGCTTCTTCTGAAGACCATCCTTTAAGTAGGTCTTGGAAAATTTAATTGAACCAATGAATGAAGCAGACCTTATCAAGGGAGTTAATCAAGACTTTGTTTTTGAGTACTTTGATTCGGGGAGAATTAATTACGCAGAAAAATATTTTTTCATATATAACAATAAGCCTGTGCAAAAACTAGCATTCACTTGCTCACTCCAGATTTGTTACGAGGAAAGGTGTAGATATCAAGCAGTTTGGTGTTTTGTTTCCGCTCCTCCCCCCGCCCCCGCCCCGAAACAACTATGTTGCTTAGCCCCTTGTTTCAGAAATGTCAATTCTATAAAACTACAATCAGTGAAAAAAAAATGTCAGCAGCCTTGCTTTAGGATTTTATGCCTATGTTTGTCTAAAAATCCCAGAAAACCTGATTGGGTAGACCAGATCAGTCTTTTGCTTATTCATGTAAGTACAATTATTATCTAGTGTTAACTAGAAGATACCTGCTGGTTTGTATGTTTCACTTGTGAAACAACACGTGGAAGAAAATCCTTTGACTATGATGTATATTGCTGGCTCTGCATCAGTTTTTTTATGTAATGGTATGTTAGAAAGCTTAACTTTTTTGGTGGACATAAAACGTTGAAGTCAAGTAAGTATTGGCTTCAGAGCTGGTTGCAGTTGTAAGCACATTATGAGTTACAAGGACAGTATGATTCAAATCTATGAAGCTTTTTCTTTGTTCTGTAACAGTTTGTAGTGGTGTTCATTGCACATGATACCAAGTATCTTCCAAGAATATTACTGTGTGTGCTAGCACACATGCATAAATATATAAAGAAAATATTTTTAAAAGACTATTAATGCTCAGTGGGGGTTGCTTGAAACATTAATACTTATTGATATAGTGTTCTTGGTGTTGTCTGGCTGGTTACTATAGTGAGTTATGCTCATGCATAGATATACATGCTTCTGTCATGAAACAAATGTTCACTGCCTGGGTTGAAAGATGTTTCCCCTCAGATCAATTGCAGGACTTGGATGCATTAATAATTAGGTAATTTTGAAAAGTCACTTGGCTGATGAGTGTGGGGTTTTTATCAGTCAGCAATAGGGATCTATGTACAAAATGCAAATACACCACTGTGTTCCTGATGTTGGAAATACCCTTAATTGCGTTTTAGTTAGCCTGTATGAAGAATGCTTGTGTTGCTAAAGCAGACAGGGCTTTGTTTCCCTACTAAGTGGCTGTTGCAATTCACAGTATTTTTTTGTATTTCAGGATTGGGGTATAGATGTGTGTGCTGATAGGAGTTTCAAGTCCTGTATAACTAGTGTTGTTTCTTCATTTTGTAGGATTCTGGAATGAAGCAGATGTGACCCGTCCTTTTGTATCACAAGCAGTAGTGACTGATGGAAAATACTTTGCTTTCTTTTGTTACCAGCTAAATACTTTAGCGCTAACTGTAGAAACTATTCAAAATAACCCTCGGAAGAATATCTGTTGGGGTACAGACAGTAAGCCATTGTATGATGTTGTGGAAGATGGTAGTGTGAAAGGCTTTAATGATGAAGTTCTGCTTCAGTTAGTTCGTTTTCTGTTGAACAGACCAAAAGAGTTGTAAATTATTAAACAATAAAGTATTCCGGTTTATGTGCCTGAACTTCATTGTAGCTCCATGAAGCATGGGCTAGAATATGTCTTGTTCTTAGGCAAGTATTTGTCTAGCAAACACTATATACATCTTTTATGATATTTGGGCCTTATTTCTTTATTTCAAATGTATGATACTGTACACTGAAAAATAAATGTCTAGAATACCTTAACGTCTTTTGTATATTTTTTAGAAGCATATTGCACTAATTCAAAGTCATGTGAATACTTTTTTTTAGCACATCCATAGCTCTATCTTGAACTATTCACAGCAAAATACGAGTTTATATGACCATCTGATTATGTCGCTAGGTAACTGTCTTGATATTGAGGACCAGTGAAAAATTTCTTAATTTTGTGCCTGAAAAGAGATAAGCTGTCTTAAATGCATACTCATTCTAAAGAGAAAATGAGCTCCAAATAAAAACTGTTTCTTAAAAGTGAATGGTTGGTAATTTAGTTACATAGCAAGGGAAATTTTTAGACATTTATCAAGCAGTAGTATAAACACAATGAGACTTGCTTCCAAAGATTCTGTTATGAACGTGCATACAAATTTTTAAGCTGTCACCTCAGGAACCACAGAACTCTCAAATGCATTTGGAGTCTACAGTTTTCCCTTTAGCTTGGGACCTTGATTTAAGCAGTAGACCTCTTGATGTTTTCATTGCTAATATTTGAATGTCTTAAGGCTGTTTTTAGTAGACCGCAGCTGAGCCCAAACCATGATGAGGATCTCCAATTATTAAGATACAAAATTTAACGACTGTTTAGGAATATTTACTTATCAACAAAGTATACTTGGCTTTGAGGTAATAAAACATGCCTAGAATTTTACATGGTTCTGTACACTGCAACTGATCTTTTGGCAATTTTCCAGTGTTCTTGTTAAGACTCCAGTAGTTTGTTTTTAAAGAGTGTACTGGTCATATGTGACTCCTTGAAGTACTTGCTTGCACATTCTTCAGCCTGAGCAATTGGGGATCCTGCTTCCTGTTGTAAACTGGTTTACGGAGTATTTTGCTAATGAAAGATGAGATAGTTGTAGAGTCTTACTTGATTGGTACTTTGCTAATGTTGGAACTGACTATAGTTGCCACTTCCTCCACCAGCAGAGGATTATCTAGATAAGTAAGATGTGCATGAGTACTGGTTTCTTTTTAACAGAAGTAAAAAGTCCTTAAGCACTGTTTGTCTGAACAATACTTGAGCATTACTAGTTCTGATCACTGCTGGCTGATCCTTGGATTAAACCAATGTTCCTCGCAGGGACAGAAGATAAACTGCTGGGTAGGCATGTTGATTATAGAGAATGACCTGTGACCTAGCTTAAAAGTGAGTGATTGATACTTGTTTTCTGGTGTGATAAAGGGATGATGCAAAATGAATGGAGGGATATTCAAAAAAACAGCTGGGTATTCTGACCCTGCAGACAATCTTTACAGTTGGTGCAATATGGTATTACCTTCAGCTTGAAACTCTGAGTTTCATGCAAGTAGTGGCTGTGGAAAGCTGACATGTGAAGTCAAAGAAACTCCTGCTCCCAGGGTAAAAAACCACTCATTTTTCTGTGATTTAACCTTCGTCTATCCTCAGATTTCAGTAGAATAAGTTCAAAGAACAACATTTCTTCCTTTATGCAGCTTTGCTAGTGACTGAAATACCACTGTAGATGTGTAACCTGGTAGAAGAACCCAGTCTTGGAGTGAGAGAGGAAGGGAAGGCTTAACGAGAGCCGGCTATTTTGTAATTGCAAAGTACCAACTTGAGCTTTCTGCAGCTGTCTCAAATGGCAAGGGGATACGCTGGAAAAGCAGTGCCAGTGGGTGGCACTGTTTTACTTTCTACTGAAGAAAAAGTGTAATAGGCTTTGGTTTGCTTTTCTGTCACTGACTGGCAAAGTTCAGGCATCATAATGTATGCAGTTTTCTACAGCAATCTTTTATCTTGTACTCATCTGTTCAGGGTGTTTAATGCTGCCTTACAATGATAGAGTCAAAAGAAAGCTTTTTTTTTTTTCCTTTAAAGATTGTATAGCTACCAAATGTTTAAAAGTAGAAAACTTAGAAGCTGCAGCATTCCTATTCTTGAGCTTTGCCATGATTCTGCTCCTTTAGGTCTCGTGGGAGCATTGTTCTGGCACATTGTTCTTTAGCAGTCTATTTAGTTGAGTTTGCTGTTTAAAAGAAACAAGGAAAGGTGATTCAAAAAACACAGGATGCAAATTCCAAGTTTGGATCCTTTTTCCTTTATTGATCTCTGCTTAGGCCTATTGGACCATATCACAAGGGAACATAAGGCAGAATCTAAAAGTAAGATTTGGTTTTACATAATGAGGCAAGTATTTTCTCTCGTACTGAACTATTCTGCTTAAAATTTGTATCACCTTCAAATGGGTGACTGATCTATGAAATTCTACCTGTACTGTTGATTCAGATGATGAGACTGCAATTGGTGACTTGGAATGGAACTGCCTAAACAGCCTTTCCCAAAATTAAAGCGGAAAGGAGGAGATGGGAAGACTCTGAAACTTTCTTATATCTATATATAGAGTCGTGTTGCACCAAGTTGTTGGGGTAGATAGTTCTGTTTCCTTTCAAATAGCTTCAATATTTGTAGTCTCTGCTTGGTCATGCAGAAGTCTTTCCTGATCTCTTCTGTACTCAGGTTTTCTGTCATTGGAGAAGACACCTGCTCCTTTTATCTCAGAAGCAGATGAAGGTTTCCTTGTTCTGGAGCTCCACTGAGGGATTTTTCCTGAGGTAAGAGCAACTCTTGAAGTCAGCTGTTGGTGAGAGAGTCTACTGACAACTTGGCCTACTGGCTCTGTAGAGACCGTGCATGCAGGCAGTATATCTCTGATGGAAGCAATGAAACTGACTTTCCAGTGCATCCTATGCTAAAATCATAGAATCATAGAATCATTAA